TATATATATATATATATATATATATATATATATATATATATATGTATATATATATATATAAATGTGTGTATATGTGTGTATATATATTTATATGTATATATATATATATATATATATATATATATATATATATATATATATATATATATATATATATATATATATATATATAAATATATATCTATATATATATACATATACATATATATATACATTATCATTATCATTATCATTAATATTATTATTATTATCATTATTATTATTATTATCATCATTTCTATTATTATTATTATTATTATTATTATTATTATTATTATCATTATTATTATTATTATTATTGTTATTGTTATTATTATTATTATTTCTATTATCATTATCATCGTCATCATCCTAATTTTCATTACTATTATCATTATACTCATTCTTATCAAAGCTATTATCATCATTTTCACCATCCCCATTACCATTATTATCGACGTTATCATCATAAGTAGTATCTTTATCATTATTATCGTCATCATCATTATTAGTGCATGTGTATATTTGTGTCTGTAAATGTATGTCTGTATCAGTGTTTTCCGTCATTTCATTTAAACAGTGTATGGTTATACTATATTTAATTAGTTATATTTAATAACATTTATGACGCATTTTTCCCCTCATTAATTTCAAATCATCGTTTACGAAAAGAGAGAAAAAAATAATGCAACATCACGTTTTCTTTCAACATCACGTTTTCTTTATTCATTTTCATCAAATAAAAGATTTTTTGTTCTTCCTTTCGCCTCGTTTTGAGTGACATTTTTTTCTATTTTATCTTTTTTCATCCTGTTACGCTGTTATTCTTTTTTTTCGGGCGTATATTGGAATATGTTGGGGGGGGAGGGAATCTGTTTCTTCTTCTTCTTCATCTTTTTCTTATCCTTTTCTTCTTTTTCTTTTTCTTTTTTCTTCTTCTTTTCTTTTTCTTCTTCTTCTTGTTCATATTATTTTTATTATTATTATTATCATTTCATTATTATTATTCCCCTTCTTCTTTCTTTCTTTCCACATCTCTCGCAACGCCATAGCATTTCTTGCAAAGCAATAATTTATTCCTAACGACAGAGACGCTTCATAATTCGTATTTCCTATTACGAATAAAACTTCAGCGAATTTCCTGAATGAATCATTCGCGTCCTAAGAATATTTCTAATTCCTTTTCAGACTCAAGATTTTTTATTTTTTTTTTACTTCTTTATCTTGCAAAGCGTGCGATAAAAAAAAAATCTCTATGGATATATCTTAAAAAAAACAAAAAACAAAAAACATCATTTGGACTTCTTGTATCGTTTTTATAAATATATCTGTTTATCTATCTATCTATCTATCCATCTATCTATCTATCTATCTATCTATCTATCTATCTATCTATCTATCTATCTATCTATCTATCTATATATATATATGTATATATATATATATATATATATATATATATATATATACATATATATATATATATATATATATATATATATATATATATATATATATATATATATGTCAATCTATCTACCTATCTGTCTATCTATCTATCTATCTATCTATCTATCTGTACATGGATACATGGATATATATATATATATATATATATATATATATATATATATATATATATATATATATATATATATATATATGTATATATATATATATATATATATATATATATATATATATATATATATATATATATATATATATATATATATATATATATATATATGCATATGTGTGTGTGTTTTCTTTTCCATCTTTTCCGATTCAGATACGCAGACAGAGAGATAGATGGATAAATGGAAAGATAGATATATAAAGATACAGACCGATAGATAATTATATAGGTAGCTAGATAGACGGACTGATAGATAGATGAATAGATAGATAAATAGATAGACACACAGATAGAAAGACAGACTAGCAGTTGGATCGATACATAAACGGACAGACAGACATACAGATAAATAGATAGAGAGATACATAGATAGCTAGACGGACAGACAGACAGACAGACAGGAAGATAGATATGTCTCCCGGAAATAAATCAGTTAATCTATTTTATTCCAAACTCCTTTTCGTTGAACATATTTTTGATTTAGTCTTCCTTGTGTATTCGGATTTCTCTCGTGTGATACCTTTTCCTTTTATTACGAAAGTTTTATGTAATATCTTCTTTTTCTTCTTCATTTTCTTTTTCCTTTTTTCTTCTTCTTTTTCTTTGTTTTTCTTCTTGTTCTTTATTTTTCCTTTTCTTCTTCTTCTTCGTCGTCTTCTTCTTCTTCTTCGTCGTCTTCTTCTTCTTCTTCTTCTTCTTCGTCGTCTTCTTCTTCTCCTTCTTCCTTTCTTCTTTTCAATTCTTTCTCCTTCATCTTCGTTTTCTTCTTCCTTTTCTTCTCCTTCTTCTTCTTCATTTTCTCCCTCTTTTCCTTCTCCTTCATCTTCTAGTTTTTCTTATTCT